AATGCCACGACCCTTTAATACAGTTGCTCATGTTGTGGTGACCCCCCCAATCATAAAATTATTTTTGTTGGGGGAAAATTGAGGAGCTGATGCCAGGGGCTTAAGTGGAGAGCAAATGTCTTGAGAATGATGAGGGCAATGAATATACAAATATGCTTTACACAGTTGATGTATGGATTGTGATAAGAGTTGTATGAACCCCTAATAAAATGATTTTTAAAAAGTTATTTTTGTTGCTACCTCATAAGTAATTTTGCTACTGTTGTGAATCGGGCGACTCCTGTGAAAGGGTCATTCGATCCCCAAAGGGGTCACGACCCACAGGTTGAGAACTGCTGCTCTAAGAGGTGTTGTGGCCAGCAAATCGATTCTGACATATGACCTTGTCGAACAGAGTAGAACTGCCCCCTAGGGTTTTCTAGACTGTAACCTTAGAGAACAGGTCCTCACATCTTTTCTCCCATGGAGCCACTGGTGGGTTCAAACCATCAACCTTTTGTTAGAAGCCAAGTGCTTACTCCTTGTCCCACCAGGGCTCCCTAAGAATATTAAGAAGAAAGTTGTAGAATTGCACAAATCACATATCACCTTTTTCCACCCCCTTAATCCAGAAAACTAATATTTGAAACAGAAAGCTCTGGGTGTAGCACACCAAAGTAACATTAGAGTCAACAGTTGGCCTTTTCCCAGTAGAACAAATAAAGAAGGGCTGAGAAAAGCAAAGACACGTGGGAACAATTAATGTTGTAACGGACCACAGAACCCCCATCCTCCACAACCCCAAAACCAGAAAAACTAGATGCCTGGCTCTCACTGCCAATCCTAGTTAGTGTGGGAGCAAAATGTAGACCAAAACTCAATATAATAATTTTTTGAAAGTATATCAGTGTTATTAAAGTTTAATTTTTTGAGTTGTTAAATTGATGCTTTATTCATTTTTAGAAGTGCTCAGCCTATGTTAGAAATTGCATATTTTTGTGAAAAATAAAAAATGTATTTAAGCATTATTGATAGACTAAAACGTTGACATACACCCAGACTCTATATAAAGATACTAATACACTTAAAGTTAACCACAACAAAAAAAAGGTACATTTGGTTGTTGTGTTAGCATTTTCCTCTGTAATTCAAATGTGCTCTGTCCTCTAGTGCTGCTGGAGGTGAAATCTTTGACCAGTGTGTTGCAGACCGGGATGACGCTTTTAAAGAAAAAGATGTGCAAAGACTCATGAGACAAATTTTAGAAGGTGTTCGCTTTTTACATACTCATGATGTAGTTCATCTTGATCTGAAGGTAAGATGTGGTTTACTTTACGAGTTGATGGTTGCTAGAACTCGTGTCATGCCAGATGTAGAATTTTATATTTGTCAAGGTGGCTCATTTGCTATCAAGGATAGAAGACTCCTCCTCTCCCTAATTAGTTTGCCCCGGGAGGTAAAATGCATGTGAGTACAAAAAAAAGAGTTAATAATAATGTACTGCCCCAAACTAGAACTCAGAGAATATTGGCATGAGCGAGGTAGGTGAAGGCTTCCTGGAGAAGATGAATTGAGTTCAGACCTTTAAAAGAAATTTAGATAGGTCGAAGAGAAAATTATCTTCACAAAAAGTAAGCTTACTTGAGTATGTTGGGGGTGGGTGGGAAACTGGTGGGATTGAGAGACAGGAAAGGGATATGAAAAATTGAGAAAATGTTAAGATTCCAGGAGTTTCAAATGTCATGTAAAGTGTTTGAACTTAATTTTGTTATTGCAGTGAACGGTGTGGAGGTGGCTCTATCTGACCTCTGGCTTCCCTGTTTCCATCAGGCAGGGGTCAAGCACACCTCTTTCTACCTTCATCTTTATTTATTCAGAAGTCGACCAGTACTCCGACCACTACTTCTACTCCATAATTTGTTCCAATGGCCACACAGAACTCATAGAGAATATTCACAATTAAGGGGGTTACTACGGGACGTTAACAGGTTAACAAGTCAGGATCAGTAAACAGAAAGGATACAGGCATGGGTCCACCGCAACACTTCTTCTTCTTTTTTTTAAGGTGTCAGCAAACTAACTTATTCACAGGCAATGGGGACTCCATGCAAGTTTTTAAAAATCACTTTTTTTTTTCACTTCAAGCTTTTTGTGCATTATACAAAACTGAAAAGCAAGGAGCCAAAAGCAAAGAACACAAAAGTCATTGAGTCATTTTGATGATTTCATACAGTTTGACATGTCTTTCTATACCCTGTGCATGTATATAAATGACTGAGCATACAATTTTAGGTGATTGAGGTAACACAGTATGGATTCATGCATTTTCTCCCCCACACCATGAATATTTACCAGTCAGCCAGTAGCCAAGTCTCTCCAGTTCTTAGCTTCTCAGCCACATGGTTGCTTGGCCTCTGCCTCCATGCACCAGGAAACCACCAAGTCTTGGCATGGCTTCTCAGTTTCTCCTTGGGGCCTTCCCTGGCAGCTGGACTAGAGGCATAGTTGGTAGCTCTGGGGCTTAGACAGCCAATGGGTCAGAGATCAAGGTGATCGATGGCAGTTGTTGCCCATTCCAATGCTTATACATCCACTTCCTGCAACCACGCCATTGCTGAGGAGGACCCTACAGAAATGAGCTAGGGCATGGAGGAGGGTAGGGAGGAGTGCTGGGCTTCTGCTCTGGCCCCTGCTCTCCAGGTTATGTCCAGTCATTGGTCCCACCAGGGTGCTTGAGTAGAGGGGAGCAGCAGTGACCTTTCCCACTTGACCGCTTCCTAAATCCCTCTGGCCACTGGAAGGCCCTTCTTAGAAGGCTCCCTCAAAACTAGTTTCCGTTGCCTCTTTTACTGCAGTGGTGGAGGCGAGGATGGAATGGGTAAGGCCCCTTCTGAAGCGCTGACAGCTTCACTTGTGAACCAGACAGACATGGGCAGCAAAGGGAGAAAACCCAGGTTAATGCACAAAATAGATGTTTTACTGTATTGTTATAAATACAGAATGGTGGAGAAAGAAACAGTCAAAAATTAAAGAGTACACTTCACTTTTATATCAATTAGGACCTTGTCAAGTGATCAGAATCACCAACTAAAACTAACACCAAAAAAATCAAATGAAAGAGTCTCAAAAAAAAAAAAAAAAGGTTATGGTACAAAAGTCCAGAGAGAATCCTCACTTAATTATGGCAGTTTACTGGTATTCTCAATACTTTATCTCCAGCCATCAGCTCTGCCTTCTCAGAATAACAGTAAGATGGCCCTAAGGTGAAGCAGAGCTGCCTTAACCTGGCACCTGCCCAGAGGGCCAGCAGAAGAGAGTCAACTGCTTACTAGCTCTCTCAGAAGGCCTGAGCTTCACTCTGATTAGATCACTGACTGTACTAAGGGGTGCAGGGCTTTGAGTGGTCAGCCAGTGTGATATTAGGGCCTAATCTTGAAGGGGTGAGCCCCAGGCCCCATCTGTCACATGGTCTGTGAATGGGGAAGCATGAATTCCCAAAGCAGTTCTGTATTTGACAGTGAGAACTTGGAAGTCAAACAGTAAATACCAGTTTCTCTTCTTAGAAACTCTTCAGGCATCTGTGGTAGAAGTGTAAGATGTTCCCATTGACTCTTGAGTGTGTAATTTCAAGTCCATGTGTGTGGGGGGGAGATGAAACAGTCCTCAAATATAAACGGCTCAAAAACACCTCACAGTGATTCTAGTTCCTTTTATTTATTTCACAAACAAGTTAATTTATCAGCCAGAGGGACTAGGGTTAAGAAGGAGGGTAACCCAAGAAAACGGAAACTCCTAGACCCCCCCAAAAGGCTTTCCAATCCTGAACTTCTGCAATTTCATCTTGCTCCATGTCGTTTACCCATGTACCTCTACTGTAGTCTGTACTGGAGTTGAAACAGATCCTTTATGGCTGCGCTTTTTAGCTTGCATCTGAGTTACTTGGAGAAGGGCTTGTTAAAATTAATTGCTAGGCCCCCATCCCAGAGTGTGTGTTCAGGGCCAGGCCCAAGAATTTGCATTTTGATAAAGTTACTAGGTGATGCTGATATTTCAAGTGCCACTACCCTTATTTTGAGAACTACTGCTCTATGAAAGAGTCCGTAACCTTACGTTGACACTAATGTTTAAATAGCAAGGCTCCCCAGTGGTGCAGTGGGTTGAACATTGGTCAGCAGTTGGATCCCACCAGCTGCTCCATGAGAGGAAGATGAAGCAGTAGGTTTCTATAAAGATTACAGGCTCAGGTACCCCAGAGAGCATTCTACTCGGTCTTATAAAGTGGCTATGAGTTTGAACCAACTCATTGGCAATGGGTGGGTGGGTTTGTTGGTTGATTGGTTAGTTTGAGAGTTTAATAACTGTTCTTAATTCTCATTGAGTGAAAATATTTTCAAGAAAGAATGTACAATGTGTGCAATCAGGAGGTTGGGCGCCAAAGGATCATGCTCTGTTGACAGATACTCTCTTAAATACTAGTTCCTTCCAGGGAAAACAAAACTCTCTCATTTTGTTTGGAAGTTCTCTTGTTCTCTTCTGAAAGATGTCACGTTAAATTCACTTTATAAGCAGATATAATTTTTCCCAAAGAAATTACTATTTAGTACAGTGGCTAAAATGGACAGTCATAAAATAGTAGCCACACTGTAGTAACAGTGGCATTTTTTGAAGGCATATGTGGACATGTGTGTACTCAGGCAGCCTCAGGATATGAATGTGGAAGTGGTCTGGAGGTCACCCAGTTGAACTACATTGCAAGAGTGACCAAACAAGGGCTTTGCTTCTGTCCGTTAGTGTATTGTTCACATTGAAATTCATAGATCCTTACAGCAAGAAATATCACGTGTCTTGCTTCAAGAACATGTGCTAGGTACAGATGGTCATTCATGCCAGACTTACAGGCATTCATACTCTTAAGACATCTCAGCACTGCCTACGCAGAAGGATTCCCAAAAGAAATGTGTGGTTTCACGGACTTTTAACTCTGTAAAACTGTGTATTTGCTTAATTTTTTAGGATGTTTAGCTAGCTTTTAGTTTTAGATTGTAAAAAGAATTTCCAAGAACAGAACCCCGACTTAAATAGCATTCCACCTATGGCAAATGAGCTTTCAGCTTAAGACAGCTCAACCTCTGGCCATAACTCAGGACCTAATGAAGTAGGTCAGTCAGACAGATTGCCAACACTGTGTGTCTTGGGTCTTTGATGTTACTTGAAAGCAGTCAAAGGTGAATATTAAGTTCTTGAGTACCAGGCTCACCTGTGTATTTACACAAGGAAATTACATCCCTTTCTCCCCAATATACTCAGTGTAAGTCATATTCCTTTCTCCCCAGTACTTGGGAGAGACTTCCGGATTTATGAGGCCTTGATGATGGTCATGTTGGTCGTCACGAGCCTTTGATGTTCGAAACTGGACTCTGTTCCCTAGGCACAAAGGAGCTCGGAAGCCAAGTGGCCTGAAGGCTGCTCATCCTTTCTTCTGCCCCCACATTATTCCTATGTATGGGCCGGCCCTGCTCAGAGATAGCTTTGGTGCAACAGAAGGGCCAATGGGAACAATTCCTACTGAAAAAACATTTCCAGCTGACTTCTATGAACCTGGGCAGAGACTCCACGTCATATGCCTTTAACAGTCATCTGTCCAGTGAGAATGTATTATTATTAATGTTAACTCCTAGTCTATATAAGATCTTGAAAAGACTAAGCTACTAGAAATAAAAAAATTACAACAAAGGTTATTCTTCCCTCACTGTTCAAAGATAAGGGTGTTTTCTTATGTTTCAGTTCTGCATAAATTGATAACTCCAAGATATTTCAGTTTTTCACCTAACAGACAGTGTAAGTCCCATTCTGGTTCAAATGGGGAATCCCTGGCCTGAAGTCAGAAATTGAAAGTTAAAACTATTCTAAGAAAACCCATTGTTGTCAAGTGGATTCCAGTTCATAATGGCCCTGGGGGAAAGTAGAAAGATCTGCCCCCACAGAGTTGCCAAGGCTGGATTCTTTACAGAAGCAGCACCTGGGTTAACAGCCAAGCTACTGTGCCCCTGGCCCTCTTTGATCCTCACCCAAAAGCACACTGCTCAGAGGAAACATGTAGGGCTGGATAGATCTGCACCTCTGGGTTTCCAAAGCAGATCATTGTTCTATCAAAGCCTATGAATTGAATTGGGGTCCCACAAAATGTGTTTTGTAAATCCTAATCTCTATCCCTATCCTTAGAATCTAGTTTTGGAAACTGGTTGTCTTTGTTATTGTTAATGAGTCACGGTTAGTGTAGAGTGCATTTGAAACCGGTCTCTTTTGAGATATAAA